CATATATTACATATTACATATATAAAATATATTGTATATATATGAAATAACTGTCTTTGGCAAACTAGTAATAGAAAAAAAATCCCACAACTTTATTATGTAACAATACTTGTTCAAGGACCTGTGTTTAATCCCCAGCACAGCCCAAAAAGTACAAGTACTTATTATTCAGTGTCTCTCAGGATACAAAATCTATGACCTTAGTTACTAGTTAAATTACAATACAGATAAACATGAGTTGTTTTCAAAATAGGAATCCTAGTTGGAAGTGATAAAGAGAATTGGAAAAACTTTAATTTTTGAAGTGTGATTGGTTACTGGTGATCTATGTCCGTATTAAGTTTGGTGGTTGTGGTAGGCAGTGGAAGTTGCCTAACCAATCTATCTAGTTATAGAGGTTTTAACACATGACCATAAATCCTTTGAATTTTGGTGGCCCTCAGAGATGGACTCACAGAACAGAATGCCCAGTGCTCTGGATGCCTTTGTGTCCAGCTCCTCAATGGCCTCTTCACATAAGAAGAGAGATGCCCAAGGAAGCCCAGATGTTAAAGACACGAGGGCCCATCCAGCACAGAGCCTGGATATGTTATGCTTGTCTTCTGAGATGGCTTTGCCCATGGGCACAGTTGAGAGGCCACACCAACTCTGAAATGCCTACCCAGGCTTTTTGTTGAGATATTAGTTACTGACACAAAAATTTAAAAGTAACAAACATTGGTCTGTTAGAAGGAAGAATTAAAAAGACAAGTCATTAACAACACTGATGAAGATACTACACTGGCCATGTTCCTGAATAGGTCATACCACACTATAACATTGCCAAATATACTTTGGTATTCCTCCACAATTCCAGATATACAACTCCTAGAACCCAGGAAATTTCCCAGGGTGATGTGTGTCTTCTGTACGTTAAGGAGGTGACTGTGTCTAATAAGTTCTTTTTGTGCCTCTCAAAAACAAAAATAAAGACAGCTTGGTCACTGGAAAAACCAAGGCAGAATTCAAGAGCTTGAATAACACTGATGAAGATTCACCTTTAATTCAGGGCCTCTTGTACAAAAAACTCCCCAATACTACAGAAATTGTTCTAAATCATGTAACAGAGTTTAAAACATTAAAAATGTTGTCATGTTAAGATTCACTTATCAAAGAATCTTAACATTTTATCAGACATTTTTCAACATTCAGATGCACAAGTGAAATAAGTGATTTTTACTATAATCCTCTTAGGTAGTTACAATTCCATTGCTAACTTTACCAGGTATCTATTATTTGTCAAGTTATACAGAAAAAATTTTTGTGTGATCCTTCCATTTCAACACACTAGAGCTGTTCTTTCAAATGTGTGTGTGTATAACATGCTAGAAATCACAAAGCTTCAGTAACATCATTATCACTAGAAACATATGAAAAGTATTCCTCAATTTTATACTTGTTTTAAAGAGGTTATTGAAATAGCTGGGTGTAGTTATGCACACTACTAATTCCAGCTTCTTCAGAGGCTAAGAGGCAGAAAGAATCTAACTTCAAGGACACCTGGGCAACTGTCGCAAAAAATAAAAAGGCCTGGGTATACAACTCAGTGCTAAGGTCCTGAGTTTGATCCCAACAAGGAAAAAAAATGTTTATGAACACTAATGTGTGTGCTGAGCCACCCTGCTTACCTGCATCAGCTCTGGACCGCTGGCCAGGTGACTTTCCGAATGGGGTCTTCATTCATCTGTATTTACGTGAGCAGCAGAGCTGCTTGACTAGGGTGAAAATTCAGTATTCTCCAATTTGACACTTTCCACAAAACGTCAGTGTTCTTGTTAATCCACCATCCAAGTTTCTCTTTTACAAACTCAGCAAAAGCACGTGGAATGACAAGCACTCTGTAAAATAGTGAAATAGTTCATTGCTAGAGCATCAAAATAACAAAACGCTGAATACACCACTAATAAAATAAAATAAATTATAAAACTTAAACACAAGTCTCATCTAAAATGCAGAAGAGGAAAAAGAGGTGATGCCTCAGACCCTAAAGAAGCCTGGGCAAGGGGCATCACAATCCCTGAGTTGAAGTTACATTATAAAGCCACTGTGGGGGCTAGTGAGATGGCTCAGTGGTCTAAAGCACCTACTTAGAACAAGCTAAGCTAAGCAAAGCACAGGGACCACGGTTCAATCCCCCAGCACCACATGCCAGCCA